AAAGAAAGAAAGAAAGAAAGAAAGAAAGAAAGAGGGAGAAAGAGACATAAGAAAGAAAGAAGGAAGGAAGGAAGGAAGGAGAGAATGAGAACTTATGATCAAAATTGAGCCCAAAATTTTGGTTGCTAAACAAGAGCATTGTTAGTTGAGTTTCACAACATTTTCCAATGTGACCACGTCCACCCGGTCACATGACCTCCAAGCCACTCCCACTTGGTCACATGACTGCCAAGCCACTCCCACAAAACAGGCCACACCTACAGAATAGGTTCTAAAAATTTTGAAACCCACCACTGGGCCACGCCCACCCAGTCACATGACCAGCAAGCCACTCCCATAAAGCAGGCCACACCTACAGAAGAGGTTCTAAAAAAAATTGAAACCCACCACTACATGGCACCATTAACTGTTGTAAAAATATCTCAATAAAGAGGAACACAGACAATCCACAAGCAACAAATCTTACTTTAAGATTCAGAGGTTTATTTCATGAGCAATTTGGAACATGAATAGCCAACATAGCAATGCAATTTCACAACAAAACTTAAATAATTAAACCATTGCAATGGTTACCTCTAAATTTTAACTTTAAAAGCCTAGGAGGTGAAAGAGAGTATATGTGTGTGTGTGAATGCGCTTGAGAAAAAAAAAACCTTCTCTGCCACAGTTGGATCTTGCTTCTTCTGTGCCTTTCCTAACCACAGAAAGCAGAGCCTGGAAAGTATAGGGGATCAGACCCAGAGTGCAGGACCTTCTGTTTCAAAAGGGAGTTTGTGTGGGGGAAGGGGTTCAAAGGCAAATGAGAGGTTCACTCTTGGGCGACTGGCTGAGCATCACTGAGCAGACCTCTATTCTCCAAAGGAGGTACCCATAGTCTGAGTAATTTTGGTGGACAGAGTCCTCCCAGTGTCAAGCCTCCAAGTAACATGTCCCAAAAAATAAAGTCCAAGGCATCCATCTTCCTTTTCAAATCCATTTATTAGGAAAACATTAAATTGGCACAGACTTGGTGTAAGTCCGACTCTGAACCGGATCCGGACTTACACCCAATAAAGGCATAAATTAGAAACTTCCCCCCTTGGGAACAATGTCAGTGTTAAATCAACAAATCTCTACTTGCAATCAATGAGTGATATAAGAACTGCTTCATGAAACCCCAGCAATGACTGCAAGAAACAGCCTGCATTAGGAGAGGTCTTATGCCTGTAGTCTGGACCATCGCTGCATTGCTCCTCTTCAGTACCATGCTTTATTTAGGGTTGCACATCCCACCATTCAAATGGTTCAGCCTGTTTATCCCCTTTTATGTATTAACCTTGCTGAAACACCTTTTCATCAAAGTAGACGTCCTCTTTCATCTTAAATGAAGGATGTTGAACTTACTTCTGTAACTGATATAAGGTAGCTTACGTGCAGATATTGCTTTGTGTTGTGGCTCAGCAGGAGCCTTTGGAGCGGCTATCAGACTCTGACAGCGAGGGGCCCTATGAGTCAGGCCTGGAGGAGGCGGAGGGCCCTGGACAGGGTTCTGACTCCGAGCAAGGCTCAGAGAGACTAGTTGGTCCCCAGGTAATGACTGAGCCTTGGATCAGTGAGAGAGGCTGACACAGAAACCTCCTGTGAATTTGTTTTGGGATGCATGCAGGAGAAGGGCTGACTGAGATAAGGAGCAATTGAGGACTCACAGGGGATGATAACGAGCAGCTGTGCCTCGTTAGGATCTCCTGCTGCGGATAAAAGACTGATGGTGCCACGCCCTAGTTGCAGAAGTCAACGTTCCATTTCTGTTCTAATCAACGTCTCCGTCCGTGTGTAACCATCGAGAAAAGCACTTGGATAAGTGACTTGATTGATATAATCCTGTTTTGTAGCAGTTTACGAGTTAGGACTTTTGCCAGAGCATTTATCTGTGTTTATTTTGGGCTCGCAGTCAGCAAGAGCCGGGACTGATAAAAACATTCCTTTGAACGTTCTGTTTGGCTTTAGTTTCTGAATGGACAAGGTGGGGGTCA